GTGTGTGTGTGTGTGTGTGTGTGTGTGTGTGTGTGTGTGTGTGTGTGTGTGTGTGTGTGTGTGTGTGTGTGTGTGTGTTAAAATATTATTAAGTTGCTGTGTCACCATCTTGGCTACAGAGCGTTAGGGGAGGGACCACCAGCGTATTTTGCGTTATGTCCAAACGGGTTGATGTGACACACCCAAGAAGGTAAAAGATGAATTTTACAGTCAAGCTAACAAAAGCAGCTGATTGTCATTTCCTGACCAGATCAGAAAATACTCACGTTGATCATTTGGAAGACGACAACAAAAAAGTATTTTAGAGTAAATTTAAACTGTGAGTTGAGACTTGTGGGAAGCTTTCCTGTTTTTTTTTTTTAAAACTATAAAAAACCTGGTTAAACCTGGTTGAACTAGTTCTGTGAATCGAAAAATCCACTTCAACTCGAATAACGTTGCCTGTAGTGCAAACTATGACGTCATTTAATGTTCAACCTATCAGAGACATGAATCGTAAGGAAATCTGAGGAGTCTGTGGATTTACTGGTTTTACTTCACTTTTGATTTCATGTCAAACTCATGTTGAGACGTTCTGCTTGGTCTGATAATCAAAACCAAACTGTGTGAGTTGAAATTAAGTTGAAAATAACTGAACTTAAATATATTTACATGAAGCTAATGGGAAAAAAAATGAGTTGATTCCTGTGACGCCCTGCACGTGTTTTATCAGCGCATGTTACGTGTAAATGAAAAATCGATGTGTCATGCCAGTAAACATGGATAGACGTCATGTGACTCTGTGTGTTTTGTGTTGTTGTGACTCTGTGCTGCCGCTGTTTGTTCCCACAACAAACACAAAAGTGTCTTAAGAGTTGTGAAACCTGAGCAGTGTGTATTTGTGTGAGTGTGTGTGTGTGACTCAGCTGCTTCTCACCGGTGTGAACGGACCCAGAGGTGTGACATGAAGCGGCCGAGCCAGTCGAGACACTTGTCAGGGGAAGGGGGTGCGTTTCAGAGCGAAGCGTGTGATTGGACAAAAGCTCGAACTGGTGGAAAACAACACAAACCAACCAGGAGCGTTTCATCACAGTCAAATGATGTGATGAAGTCACTCACACACACACACACACACACACACACAGTCTTGGACAACACGGGCAGATGTTTGAGTGTGCGTGTCGTTGGCCACGTGGTTCAGTTTCAAAAATACTTTCTGACGTTTTGAAAATGTTCAGTTAACAAACCAGTGTGACAGAAGAACACGTTCCTCAGTTACAGGTTTGATTATTGATCATGTTGGGCGACTCAACAAATAACGTTAATATTGGTGATTCCTGTTATTTATTTGTTCATTTTCAGAGTTTTTTCTCTGCAGGCGTTAAATATGGATTAATTTCAAAATAAGATCAACAACATGAGCAACACAGATCTAGTTGGAC